GTTGTCGACAACCATAACCACCCACCACTTGATGAAAAAATTCTTAATAGGAATGAAGTGAGCAATTCCCTAAAAAGAAAAGCCTCAGAAGATTTAAGTGAGAGACCTTTAAAATTAATTCACCGAGAACTAAGGAAAGGAGATGTCGAAACATTGACTAATTGCGATGTCAAATGTATTAGAAACAACATATACAACTCTCGAAGGCGCTTTGTACAGTGAAACCTGTGTAAAACGGAATCGCACGGTCGTGCACCGATTTTCCGACACATACAGGATTCCGCGTTACACAGGGTAGATAAAAAATTGCACATAGTAGATTTAAAAAAGTAATGATTTTATTAAAAAAATCTAATATACGTACATTTAATATATAGTTGTTATTATTACTATGTACCTACATATTTTTATTTATTATTAGAAACAATATAAATTATTATTTATTCCACATTTCTATCAATGTAAGTTGTTTTTTATTCTTTTGTAATACGTAAGATGATTCCATGAATGTCCTTAATTCTAAAATCTTCTTTCTCATCGGTTCGCTCTCTATTCTTTGGGAAAAATCCTCTAACGCTGCAACACTCCTCAAAGCTTCAGAAAAATTTTTTATCCGATCGGATTCTTCAACTTCTGTTCCTGTAGATAAAAATAATAATTTAAGAACAGATCGTTTTGAAAAGCTAATGGGAAAATAATTTTTTCTATCTGTTATTTTTGTGATGGTAACTGAAATCTTCCTATCTTATTTTTATTATGTATTTTAACTTTATTTCTACTTGGCCAAATGCCCAATTAAGATGGAAAGAATAAATAAAAAGTTGTTTATTTTTTTAGAGAATTAGAAAAATCGCTTACCAATTCCAATCCCATCATTATCGTCTGCCACAGTAGTTTCCACGGCAGTTTTTTCTAACACCAGTTCTTCTATGGACTGAAATCCAGCATTTGTTGTAACGGCTTCATCTAATGTGATGTAATCATGAACATTACAACCGGGATTAATTTCAGTAATTAACTCTTCGACTTCTTTTGTACTTTCGTCAATTTCGTCAACATTTTCGATTAGGTCAACGTCTCCATCTTGCTTGATTCCACATGCCGCAAAACATTTTTTAACACAATCAGGTTTAATATTTTTTACTGAATAATCAATCCATCTGATAGCATCCAAAACTGATATTTTTTTAGCCAAATCTCGTGCTGATTGAGAGAATCTCATATTCGCAATAATTGACCGCAGCACTTGTTTTCTGTAATGCATTTTGAAGTTTTGTATAACTCCATGATCGAGAGGCTGTGTTTGACTTGTGGTGTTTGGTGGTAGAAAACACAATTTTATATTGGATAGTATTATTTTGGGGTGACACGTTGCATTATCCAAAAATAGAAGGATGTGTCGATTTTCAAATTTCATTTTTTGATTTAAAATTTTTAGCCACTGTTCCATAAGAACTGATGTCATCCATGCTTTTTTATTTACTCGCCAATAAACTGGTAGCTGAGGCACATTGGTATTGTTAAAACATCGCGGTCTGAGGGATTTTCCAATAACTAGAGGTTTTTCTATTTTTCCGTCAGCAAAGGCGCAAAACAAAACGGTTAACCTTTCTTTAGATTGTTTGCCTCCTTGACATTTTTCACCTTTAAAGCACATTGTCTTGTCCGGCAGCGCTCTATAAAAAAGGCCAGTTTCGTCACAATTAGCAATGTCTTTTAGGGTATATCCTTTAATTAAATCTGTAATGTGCGATGTCCATTCAGTCACAGATTCCATGTCGACGTCCTTAGCTTCACCGCAGATCTGATTAAATCTTATGTTATGTCGTGTTCGAAAACTTTCCAGCCATCCATTCGAAGCTTTAAAATCTACTTTTCCAAAATGGTTTGCAATTTCTCTTGCTTTTTCTTGAATAATTGTTCCAGATACAGGAAGATTGCGAGACCTTGCATCCATAAACCATTCCAAAACTGTTGAATTTACGTCGTCGTGATGTGATTCCTTTGGCTTTCTCTTAATATCGCCATTACCACCACGCATCCACTCTTCTTTAATGTTTTCCTTGTTTTTCAAAATTTCATGCACTTGCGTTTTTCCGCACTTAAATTGAATAACCAATTGCTTTGGAGTAAGTTTTTTTTGGTCACTACATTTAATTAAGTCCATTTTAGATTTTAGCGATAATGTATTCGTTTTTCGGTTTGCCATTTTGAAATGTTTGCACTTTCACGGATAAACTCAAACTGCCGTACCTACACAATACTGGTTTATTTGTGTATTTACTGCTTTTGTACCTAAATTTCTGTGATAATGGTTCTAAGTATTGATAATAGTTCGCCCTTATTATGGGGCTTTCCGAAATCATAAACTAATTATGTAAACATCTATAAATTCTTTTATACCTGCAAAGCAATAACATAAGTAGGTTCCGGCTTAACAGATTAGGGAAATTCCGTGTTCGCGTTAGACAGGGTTCCGGCTTATAAGCAATTTTTACATTACAATATGTAGGTAATCGCCAAAATTTCCGTCATACACAGGATTCCGTGTTACACAGGTTCCGGCTTACTTAGGTTTCACTGTACCAAAACTTCCAACTAATCAACAAGAAGTTCACAATGTTCTCAATTCCTATTCTGTTATGACAAATCGGTGCGAAACTTTTCTTCTGGTAAACGACACAGAAAACAATATAATTATGTTCTCATCAAAAAAGAATTTAGAGTTCTTGTGCACTTTGAAATCCATATATGTGGATGGGACATTCAATTGCTGCACCAAATTTTTCCTTCAAATGTTCTCCATTCACGGATTAGCAGGTGACCATTATGTACCTCTCGTCTTTTTCATACTTCCAAATAAGCAAAAGAAAAGTTATATGTTGGTATTAATGTATGCAATAGAAGAATGTCAAAAGATTGGTAAAATATTGGGACCAACGACTGTAGTGGCAGATTTTGAAGAGGCAATCCACCAAAGTGTGCTAGAAACTTGGGCGAAGACAAGTATTGTTGGATGTAGATTTCATTTGGGCCAATCATGGTAAGTTATTGATAAATATTTCAATGACTAGGGTTAGTTCAATAATGTTTTGCTAGGTTTTGTATCTCTAATACTTATTGATTTTAAGGAAATTAAATTTTAAAAATAGAATGTCCTTATAATTAAGTATTAGAGATTTAAAATATTATTAGGAAAAAAGTTTAATAAAATTTGATTGTCCAAAACTTTTAGACGTAAAATATATATATTTCAATGCTGTCAGTTTACTAAATGCAACATGCACTTTTTAGGTGGCGAAAAATACAACAACTTGGCCTTATTACTGCATACAAGGATAAGGATTCAGAAGTTGGAAAATTTTTGAGAAACTGTTTTGGTTTGCCGTTTCTTAATTCAATAGATGTTGGAGACTGTTTTGCTATTGATTTAATTTCTTCTCAACCCAGCAATTCCAAACTTACATCATTCGCAGATTATCTTGTAGATACTTACATAACAGAATCGTCCAAATTTCCACTATACATATGGGCTGAAAATACAAGTAGTGTTAAGAGAACTACAAAAGCCTGCGAAAGTTTTCATTCACGGTTTAATTCTGCATGTTACCATGCACATCCTCATATTTTTCAATTTATTTCGGTTTTAATAGATTTTCAAAGTGATACCTACATAAAGATAAGGACAGCGCAACAAAATGAAAAGAAAATATACTCTGCAAAAACTATAGAAAACAAACAATTTTTAGATGACAAGATATGGCAATTAAAAAATCATGATATAACAAACTTGGAATTTATTAAGGTAGTTGGAAATCGATTTAAAATGTAGAAAACCTAATTTTGTAGTTTATGTAAATATAAAATAAATCACCCTTATTTTAGGTTTAAAAATATTTATAGCACTGTGAATGATTAATAAATACATTTTTTTATCAATCTTGTTTACTTTATTACCATGTTCCCTAAAAAATAAAATAATTCAGGTACCTGAGATAATGAGCTTCGGACTCTACTCAACCATCTCCGGGACTCTACTCGGACATCATTCAAAGGGACCTAGAGAAGTCGGGACTCTACTCGAGATCACCGAGTAAAACCTTTAAACTTTAGCTTTTTTAATAACGCCATTCTTGTTGCAAATGAGCGATTTGTTCGCGGAATTAATTATGTACTGATTAATTAGTAAGTAAAGCAGGGACAAAAGTTGCAAAGGCTTTTCGCAATTCTTTCATTTCATACACAGGATTTGATAGTTTCATCGCTGAGCTAACATTTTATTTTATAGGTTTGGGCCAATATTACTTGCTTAAATAATTATTTCTAGTCCATAAATAATACTTTACTCATTTTTTTTGATAAACCTCGTATACGACTTATAACATTTAATATCTGATGGTTGTATTTTAGGTTTTAAACTATGCACATTTTTTTATGAAATATTTTTTTTCCTAAAATTCATAATAAAAGAGTTTTCATAATGCTGCCAACTGTCTACGTAAGTTAGCGGCATATGTAAAACTATTTTATTATTATTATTTTTATGCTTTCTAAAAAGTTTTTCATGAATAAAAACCTAAAATTGTATCAATCGTATACGAAACAAAGGCACTTCTCTTAAATAAAATTTATAATTTTTGACGCACCCCGTATGCGGCTCACAAAAATTTATATGTGATGGGTGAATTTTAGATTTTAGACTATGCAGAACTTTTTTTTTATATGTAGTCAACTTACGTAGACACTCTGTATATTCAAAGGACGACAAAGTATTTCAAGGAAGTGCCTCAGGATTCAAACCTTTATCAGTTCTGATCTTAAGTGATAACCTTCTTATGGAATTTGATAATACTATGAGGCAATTATTATAATTTTACAAGAACCAAAAATGCAGGTTCCTGAACTTGTCAGCTGGATTAAATGTGCAGATTGTGAAGGACCAAAAGGTTGTAATCCTTTGATTACATATTGTGATAACTCTTTGTTTTAACTTTACATACCTATCAGCTGCGGATACTAGAACGATACGTCCTCGGTCTTCCTGAGGTTCTGCTGCGTAGTAACTAACACTTTCTTGCTCTTCTTCTTCTTCTGGATGTTGAACGCGTACCCGTCTGGCATTTGTTTGACTGATAAACACATCTCCACATACGAGGAGCGATACCAACTGTAAAAAAAGAAAATAAACTTTAATATCAACAAGTATTTGGCTATGAATTTTACAGAGTCCACCAATTTAAATCCTTTATCAATATTTAGAAATGATTTACACGTTTTTGCAAAGAAACGCAATCGCGTATTCTTTGAATTTGTTTATAAACTTTAAAATCATCAGCAATAAGTAAACACTTCGAGTATTTATTCACTTTTGACAAATAACAGAAACAATAATGGGTCTAAATTAGAACCTTGTGGCACTTCGGAAACAGCACGGAATCTGCTAGTAGAATTACCATTATGTCTTACCAAAAAGTATATATCTTTCAAATAATCCCTAAAAAACATTAATATATTGTTTGTCTATCCAAATTGACTGATCTTTTCTAATAAAATATCATGATCTGCCCGATCAAACGCTTTATTAAAGTCAGTAAAAATTGTATCAAGGTGAAGTTATTTTTCTAGTGCATCATTTGCATAATTTGTGGAGATAAATAAATTAGAATTAAACAAAAATAACCGATAATTAATAATTTTTTAATTTAATTTTATATTGTTGGAGACTTGTTAATTAGACACCTCCACTGGTTATGCTTCATATTTACTTATTTCGTATATTAGTGATGACGTATATATTATAATTGGTGAAATGGCCTATATAAAAGGTAGAGAAAATAATTTCTTTCCCATCCAAAAATAATATTTCGCATTATATTCCACATATGTGAAGGGCAAGGCGTCCAACTAATTTTCGTGTAATTTTTACAATTCACAATGGTCCATTAGATGCGCTTGACGGAGAATATGATGGTATCAACCAGGCATATGTCACAACTGTTAATTGTTTATGATGTATTGTGCAGTCAGTGTATACGTTTTTATTCTATTATTTTCATGAGAATTTTTGAACGAGGTTTACCTACAGTTAGTTTCTGATTTATCTATAAATTACCATTCGTGTTAAATTTAAAAACAATGGTACTAGCTTTTAAATAAAAAAAAATATTGTTCAACCTGTTAGAAAACATAATATGCTAAAGACTGGAACTAATTGAAGATAAATTAATACTAATTTAGTATGAATTAATTCGTTTAAACATAATGTAGCTTGTTTGTAGTCAACTGGCGAGAAATACAGTAATTTATACTATTTGGTTCAGTGCTTTGAAATTTGTATACCGAATGATTGTCGAGTTTTGACCAAATAGAAATTTATACCAAATCCAAAAAACACCCTGTATCAAGGTAATTAAATATTCTAGAGCCATTAATAATGATTTATTGTTTCGGCCTTTACTTGATGTAAATCCATATAATCTGAAATGAGTAAAACCAAATTTGGTAGATTTTCACAAAACTTTTATTTAAAAAAAATAAAAATTAAAAACACTACACATGACATGTTTCGAAGTACAACTTCTTTTTCAAATGTGACTAATTTACAATTCGGTGTCCAATATATATGGGTAGTAATTTAACCAAAGTAATTAAGAAAATACATCAATAACATAATAAAATAAACTGGATATTTAAAGTAAATAAGGGTACTTAAGTAATTATGATATCAATCAGATAATAATAAGATCATTACCGGGATTATCTCACAGAAAACTAGGAAAGAGATTTAATAAAGGTGAGTTATTAATATCTAATTGATCATTTAGTAGGTTATCTGAATTTTTAAATCTATTTATTTCAAGTGTTTGTAAATGGTTTAGTTTAATGCCCTTATTTTCTATATGTAAAATTTCAAAGTTGTCTGTAAAAGAATGATTTTCAGCCAAAATATGATTGGAGTAAGTAGAATTATTTTTATTTTTGTATAGCTATTATAATGTTCGGAATAGCGCTTTGAAAGTACGGTCCACGGGGGTTTATATCATATGCAAAATATGCCAACCCGTTTACTGCGCAGACCACCCGGCGCTTGGGTGCTCTGAAGTCCGTTTTACAATAACCAAATTGTTTGGATTGATTGTTGAAACCGGCTCTGTATGCTAGTCTTAATATTCAGATACCGACACTGACTATGTATGTAAAATTAAGGATGTTATTGTCAAAGTATCTTGTCACTGAATATATTTCAAAAAACTGTCTATTGTAATTTTTTGGTAAAAAAAAATTAAGATTTCCTTGCGAACCAGCATTTTATAAAGGGAGGCTTCAGCCCGTCACAAATTGTATTAAAATGTAAAGCACACTGAATAATTTAATAACATCTTGCTCAGTAACACAAAAAAGTATTATTTCAACAATTTTAATTTACATATTAAACCAAATTAAAAAATCATGCCTTCACTTAGTTATTTGTACAATGTTAACCTGTCTTTATGTCCGCTACATGCCTGCTGGCTCCCCTGTGTGCCCGCTGCCAGGGTGACGCGCGCGCTGTCAACAAAAAGTAAACAAAAAAAACAATATGGTTATGGTTGCCGCCGACGAAAACATGTGAGTGAGAGTATTTTTATTTATTTTAGTTTTAGATATGTTATTTAGGATTATTTAAAATTAAGTAAAGGTATTTTGATGCTTTAACGAGTCTTTACCAGGGAAAATTCATTATAAATACATAATTTCCAAATCAAAGAAAGAAATGGTGCCACATTTTAAACAGTCCATGTGAAACCAATTATGAGATAATTTTGATACGAAATCGAATACAAACACAAATCGTTCAAGACCAAGACTGCTAAGATTTGCTTTGTCTTTAGCACCCTCAAAACCAAATACACCAAAGATAATAATACTTAGTAATGTTGTTATCACACCTCCAGATTACATGTGTTATATTTTAATAAGATAGATCAAAATTTCAAAGACGGTCAGTCATCAATTGAATTTGAATCTTACATAAGAAACAACGTTTCGATAATGTATTTATAAATAAATTTAATAGAAAACAGAAAAGTAAAATTTGCAAATTAAAAAAGGCCCTATAATTAATTCCTAATGTAACGTTTAAACTACAGTCAAAATTTCAGAATCAAAGATATTTCAACAATTAAATTCAAAACTATTATAATGTAGGTTTGTTCAGGTTTCTTTAAAACTCGATGCAAACTGTCCGAGAACCAGTGAAACAGCTTAATTCCAAATTATTTGTCGCATACAACTATTAAACTGTCCACTGGTCAACTAGTCTTCTGATAGTTCTCAATGTATTTTTGAAGAACCCGGACATACCTAGTATGAGGGCTGTGGCAATATTTTAAAGACCAAAAAGATAAAAAAATGATTGAAGTTACTGCATTTAATTTTTTTTCTGTTTCAGTTTATATGGATGGTTGCCTTTTATCTTATTTTCCAAGATTCAAGAAGAATATTTTTTTTATTTATTTATTAGACATTAGTTTTTTCAAATCAAGTACATGAATTATTTGTTTTGCAATTTCTGATTTTCATTATTTTAACCGAAGATAGTTAACGTACATCTAAATAATAATGTAATATTTGTGATATTAGAGTAACTTTCTTAAAGATAATAAATATTTGGAGATAATTTATAATACTAGAATTTGTTTTTAAGTCAAACTCATTAGATAATCTTTAGAGAATAACATTTTCGTGAAATTAGGAGTATTTTTTATAGAAACTAGTAAACATTTGTAAAAATAGATTGTACTTTGTATGGAAATAAACTAATATATACAAATAATGATGGTAGGTCGGGTTATCCGGGTTTTTCTCACCATAGCAAATAAAAATAACTATTCTTGCCACTCACAAGCTCTTCTTGGTGTTTAACTCATGTAGGGTGAAGTGTAGGAAAATCTATTGGTATTGTTGTATTGCCATTAATTTGATTTATTTTTCTTGGGAATTTTTAGTAAATATAATTATATAAAACTTTGTATGGTATTTATTTTACCCCTCACAGTTATTTGTCATAGAATTTTACATTTTTATTGGCATTTCATAATTGTTACAAACCGCTAATAAAAAAGCAAAATTTTAATTATAATTAAGAGGAGAAAAATTTATTTTAGCAATTATCTTTTTCTAACCAATACGAAATAGAGCTATGAACATTTCTAGTTTATTTTTAATTTTTAGTGAATGAATAATATGTACATTTAGGTAAAGGTGAAATATTTGTTTCTCTGAAGCCACTATTGCGAAATCCGATTTATTTTCTCAAAAATTGAGAAAATCTTTATGAAACAAAATTTTGCGATTTTTGTCATTAAAATTGATCAAATTTTAAAAAAGTGGCTCCAGAGGAAAGAACGTCTACCTTTACTTACATGTTTTTTCTTTCACTAAAAATGAAAAAAAATTAACTGAAATTTTGGATGCCTATATTTCGTATTAGATGGAAAATAATAATTGTTAAAATAAATGCTCCTTTTAGTGGAAGTAAAATAAACCCGCCAATTTTCAAATTAAATATGGTATTACGGGTAACTGCATTACCAACAGAGTAATGATTCAACAGTTAATATTGTAGGTAACTACGTTACCAACAGAGTAGGATTAGTTGAACCACCCGCCCCCACAGGTCGCTGCAAGCAAACTTGTTGCCAAATTTCTACAAAGAAACGGCAACTCTTAATAATCTTTCCTCCATAGTACGGTCTGTTTGACCAATATACAATTTTGGACAACTACCACAATTTAATTTATATACCCCCGATTTATTATTAGGAATAATTTTACCCTTATTGTTTTTAATATACTTCCCAAGCGTATTATTGGTTTTGAAAGCTACGTTAATATTTTGGTTTTTTAAATATGATGATACCTTTTCACTAGGAACTCCTGTATATGTAAGAGTCTTATATCTGCAATTTTGATCTTTAATTATGGAATAAACTTGTTGAATAGCATGTTTAAAAAGTTTTTTCTCTAAAATGTTGTCTACTAACTTTGAATTAATATTATTGTTTACTGCGATTTGTTTAATGATATTTAATTCTTTTGTGACGTTATCTTTGGTAAGGGGGATATTAACTAATCTATGGATCATACTGTTGTATGCTGCTAGCTTTTGTTTGTATGGATGAGATG